GAGTCTCAGGCATGTGGTCATCTCCCAAAGGTCCACCCCAGGGTCTCAGGCACGTGGTTGGTATCTGGTCATCTCCTGAGGGTCTCAGGCACGTGGTTGTCTCCTGAGGGTCACCCCCATGGTCCCTCCTGGCATGTACTTTTCTGCAGGGTCTCATGTGACATTTAGTCATCTCTTAGGGTCTCCTTAAGGTCTCGGGTGGTATTTGTCTCCTGAGCGTGCCCCCAGGGTCTCAGTGGCTCGTGGCCATCAGGTCTCCTTGTCCACGCTGCCGGGTCCAGCCCTCAGTTCCCTTGTGATCACACCCCTGACTGTGTTGATGTCAGGTATCTGTAGCCGCCTCTACAACTGTTTCCTGTTGTCTCTCCATTACCTGGGTGCTTTCTGCGGAACACCAGGGCATCTACACGTGTGCTACAAACCGGCCTCTCACTGGGGTGGGGACTTGGGCCAGCGTCCACTGTCCGTCCCTTCTTGCGGTGCCGGCTCTCTGGAAGGGCCCTGCCGAGGAGTGGGGAGCCGTGTGGCATGGGTTGTATAAACTGTGTAGAACTCCCTTCTCTTCCACTTTAATTCGTTTAGTCGTTTATATCAGTACGGACTCACACTTACTTTATAGTCTAGTTTAGACGCTAGAGTCCAATCTGTAATACTGCCTTATTCCGCTATCACCCAGATAGGTGCAGCTTCCGACACACGGCGCTCCTGCGACGTGCTGCCGGCTCCCTCACTGTGTACGTGTGCGCGTGTGTGTGCATGGCTGTGAACTCATGTGTGGGCGCGTACGTGAGCATGTGCGTGCTTGTGGGCATGAGTGTGCGCGCAGGCATGCTCACGTGCGTGCTTTGTGCGTCGGTGTGCGCGTGTCGGTGCGTGGGCTCCCGCTTGTGGGCACCGGGGCGCACGCGTGTGCGTGCTTTGCGCATCAGTGCGCGCGTGGGCGTGCGCACGTACATGTTTGTGGGCATCGGTGCGTGGGCGTGGTCACATGCATACTTTGTGCGTCAGTGTGCGCGTGTCATTGCGTGGGCTTGTGCTTGTGGGCATGGGGCGTGCGCGTGTGTGCGTGCTTTGCGAGTCAGTGCGTGCGTGGGCGTGCGCACCCCAACTCATCGGCTCTTTGCTCTCCCGCCCAAGCACGTGCCCTGGCACCTTTCTTGTCCCCAACCTGGCACTGGTCGCTTCTCCAGGAGCACAGCGTCTTTTATGGAGAGTGGGACCGTGGTGCGTGTGTTTGCTGCTATGGATGTTTGCGCATCTCCACCCTGTCAGTTGATAGGCAAGGGAATACGCGTGTGTACAAACCCTGTGCACACTCGTGCCGGTGACATTCTCTAGGGAGCCATCTGTGTCATGTTCAGCTAACACGGGTTCACAACCAGGTCTCCCACGCTAACCCACGACCACATGGGACATTCCAGCACCCCCCCTCCGCCAGTCTACAACCCCCAAGCAGTGAGAACCCTAAATCTGATGGGTGCTGCCTGTGACCCATCAGAGGGTGATCTCTGCCACCCTCCCAAAAGCAGCCTGCCTCCCCCAGTGCGCAGGGGATGGAGGAGAGGAGCCTTGCTCCCTACAGCTCCTGCTGGCCCGATTCTCTCCTGAGCTGAGGGTCTGGAGGGCCTGCTCTGATGTGCCCTCTCTCCAGGGCAAATCTCATCTCTGGGGCTCTGACCCTGTGGGCTTGCCCCCCAGGGCATTGCGCCGTTCCTCACACCTCCCGCAGGGTCTGCCCCAGTGCAGAGTTAGAGCTAGTCCAAGAGTCCCCCATGCAGGCCCCTCCGCTCGGTCATGGGCGTGGTGGGCACACATACACCCGGGAATTGGCACACCCTACAGTGAGGTTCCCCCACACGCCTAGAGCTGGTTGTTAAATACCACACACCAAGGGCTCTTCCTCTTTCCACTTCTGGGGCACCCTCCTGGCAGGAAGAGAAGAGGTGGAGGCCCCTCTGCCACCCCTTTCCTGGGTTCTTGCGGGGTGGGGCTGTGGGTGTCAGCCTCCGGTGATGTGGTTCGGGGCAGGGACATATACTGGAAGAGTTGAGGTTAGAACGAACTGGGGGGTGGGGGTGGGGGGGAAGAGTCACTGCCTTAGATGGGGGTTGGACAAGGCAGCCTCGGAGGGCTGGGTGTGCATGTCTGTGTACCTGAGAGTGTGTGTGCATGTGCACCAGTGTGTTTGTTTATAATTGTGTGCAGATGTGAATGTGCATGCCTAGTGCTTGTACAAATATCTGAGTGAACCTCTGTACATTTGGGTTTTAAGTTTATTTCTTTTGAGAGAGAAGGGGAGGAGCAGAGAGAGAGGGAGACAGAGGAGAGAGAGAGAGAGAGAGAGAGAGAGAGGAGAGAGAGCATTCAAAGCAGGCTCCATGCTGTCATGGCAGAACAGGGCTCAAACTCACGAACTGTGAGATCATGAACTGAGCGGAAATCAAGAGATGCTCTACTGACTCAGCCACCCAGGTGCCCCAAACCTTTGTGCATTTGCTTATAAGTATGTGCACACACGAGCATGCACGTGTGTCTGTGGGTCCATGTGCCCTGCTGTATGCACATGTGTGTCCGAGTGCATGTGTGGCTGTGCATTTGAGAAGCGCGTGTGCCTGTGTGGCTCTGAGGGGCGCTGCGCACAGATGTGAGGAAAGAGGGTCACTTCCCCAGGAACCCAGGCTGCCCCCTCTTCCTGCCCCCACCCACGGGGAGAGGCCCCAGCTGCATAAAGTGGAGCTTCCCTGGAGCCCCTGCCCGCCTGCCTCTGCTGCGCCATCCCACACCTGCCCACGCTGCCTCCCGTGCCCATTCCAGAGGGAGGAGACCAGAAGCATTAGGCACCCTGGGGTCTCCTGTCCCCAAACTACTCAGCAGCAGGTACTGGCCTTGGTAGTGAAGGAGGTAGGGTGGGCGGTGGGAGGCTGTAGCCCCTCCCCCCTTCCTGGAGGCGCAGGGAGGTGAACTCAGTGGCCTTCTCTTCCCCGGCAGGGGCCCACCCAGGGATCAGCTGATCTGCAAGGGGGCACTGGTCTGGGACAGTGGTGAGTGGCCCCGCGGCTGTCTCCAAGTGTCACAGATGCCCTGGTGTCTGTGTGCCTCACGGACCAGTCGGTCCTGGACAGATGCCTGGCCTCACTTGTCTTCCCCGAGGGGATGTCTGGGCCAGGAGACAGCAGAGGGCAGGGTAGTGTCGGGACTAGAGAGAAAAACAGCCCAGAGGGCTGGGCAGCAGCCTGGGGCCAGCAGGTCCTTTGGGGGGGCATGAAGTGTATGGGGGTCCCCTGTACAGACAGAGGAAGCAGGGTGTGGAGGAGGG